TTAAAGGTTCTGTATTATGAAAAAATACTCTTGTGCACTTTAACCCTCCTGCACTCTGAGGTACACTTTTGTACATCTCAGCTTTTCTTTTTTGTATAACTTTGTTTATTTATTTTATTTATTTATTTACTGAATAGGGACAGTGCATATTAAAGGTTGTATAGAAGATTTTCCAAGGAAAGAGAAATGCAGCGACTGTTTGTCCTTTTTCAAATGTTGTGCTTTGCTGCTTTTCCCCTTCTCCTCTTGTTTCCGCGACGTCAAACACGGACTTCCATTCGCAGTGAACTGGTCGTGAATTCTTGTCCGCCGTTACAACAAACTTTGTGCAAACTGAGAGGAAGCTACACTTCGAAAAAGACCCCAAGAACCGCTGTATTGGTCGAGTAAATGTCATCAGTGCGTGAGAGGCGAACGTAAACCTCTTAATCCCAGCGCGCCGGCGAGTCAGTGACGCTAGAAACGTAGGGAGTTTGATTAACAACCTAACAGCCAATAGAAAATGAGGTAGCTTGTTTTCTAGTGGCTGATGTTTATCTGGCCTCAACACGTCCACAGTTGATGGATTTTCATTCTTTTTTTTTTTTGGTCATCATAATTACAAGGCTGCTGCATCTCTCTAATGGTATTTTAAACTTTCACTGACAATTTGAAACAAATAAAAAAAATCCTCCATACAACCTTTAATGATCATCTACAACACTGCAGTGTAAAGGTGACAGATTATAGCAAGACTGCTCATTTCCATCACCTCAGCAGGTATCACCACAAACTTAACAGAAAAAACAAAAACAAGTGACAGTTATACATTAAAAGTGTCCACAAGTCTGGTTTTTCTTTAGCCACTCTTTTAAGTAGGACTTGAAAGTGGCAAGAGTTGGAGTTTCTCTTATTGATAGTGACAGACTGTTCCAAAATGTTGTGCCTCTGACTGAAACACATTTTGTCCAAATGTGGAGCGTCTGTGTGGAGCTCACAGTTCCCCTGAGCCATGGCCCTGGTTCCCATTCCACTGACGGTCTTTACTTTATTAAAATCCAGTAATGGAGGGGGACAAGTCCATGCAAAACTTAAAACATAAAACATCCATATTTAAAATCAACAAAATTATTAAATTTAAGGCAAGGCAAGTTTATTTGTACAGCACAATTCGTACACAAAATAATTCAAAGTGCTTTACAGAATAAGAAATACATTAAAATCATAATAAAAACAAATCAAAACATAAATAATCATGAAGATTAAAATAAAAAAAGAGAGACATAAATTGGAGAGAAGAGTGCGGAATGAAAACCTTTCAGTTATTTGCACAGTTAAACAGAAATGTTTTGAGTCTGGATTTAAACAGCGTCACAGAAGAGTCTGTCTCACATGTTCAGACTGTTCCAGGTTTTAGCTGCATGAACCTGAAACTCTGACTCCCCTTGTTTAGTCGTGACTCTGGGCACCAGCAGGAGTTGGTCCCTGAGCTCCTCAGAGTGTGAGATGTTCATATGACACTAACATGTCACAGATGGACTTTGGTGCTCGGACATGGAGACACTTGTACAAACAGAGCTGCTTTAAAGTCTCTGAGCCACAGGAGCCAGAGCAGAGACCTGAGACCAGGACTTATGTGCTCGTACTTCCTAGTTCGAGTCAGGACCCGAGCTGCAGCGTTCTGGATGTTCTGGATGTTCTGGATGTTCTGGATGTTCTGGATGTTCTGGATGTTCTGCAGCGTCTCACAGCTCGTTTGGAGAGACCAGTGAGCAGAACATTACAGTATCTAACCTACTGGAGACAAACGCATATTAAGCAGATTATATTTATCTAAAATAGTGCAGTGCTGAAATGAGAGTGGTTTCTTGTCCAATATTTTTATGGCTTTTTAAAAAAAGTGATTCAGGTTGTTTGAGTTTTGTGCCAGCAGCAAGTGACCATCTGGTTCTGCAGTCGTCTATATGAGACAGAATCATCGAGTGTAAAAACATTTGTGCCGCATATAAATTCATAAAAGAGTTTACTTGTCTAAAATTCACTAAGCATCACTTAGGTGATGTTGCACCAAATAGCAACCAAAATTGTGTATTTTGAGATGTATTTTTTCATGTCTGTGTTTTTTTTTTTTCTATAATCAAAATACTCAAACCTGTGGGCCTTAGGTATGTTTTTGTCCCATTGACTTCCATTCAAAATGTCTTTTTTATTGGCATAACTTTGTCCGTGTATTTTTACTTTTTGATGTATTTTTCATTCTTTGGCGTTGAAAACTGCTCAAATTTTTTTAGTTTTAGTGTCTTTTTAATTAAATTTTTTGTTATTTTTCTTGTAACCGTGTATCTGCCATTATAACGTTCCATCAACATAAAGACATTTGTACACATGAGTCACACTGAATATTTGAGGTTAAAATGACATGTGACGTGTTCTAGAGGAACCCCAGACTCTGATAATCCAATCAATCAATCAATCAACAACTTTATTAATCCCAAAGGGCAAGTCAGTTCGCACATCTCTGGTTGTGCACAATCTATAAATAATAAAAGAAAAAGAAAAACAGACGTCATACATTCAAACCTCAGAGCACCAGGGACACAATAGCAAATTTACTTTCCATTTAAATCCTGACAAAAATGGCATTTAATGTGTTAAAATTCCAAAATATTCTATATTATTTGGTGTGTGTATGATTAGGGCAGAAGTAAATGAAGACACTGATATAAAAAAGTTGGACAAAAATCTGTACTGAATAAAAATATTGTGGTATTATTTTCCAGTTTACTTTTTTGTCACGAAGGAGCACAGGTGTGATTATTTTAAAGAGGAGCAGGAGGGTTAAAAAGTGTTATAATAATGTTATCTTCTTGAAAACAGACCTGGAGTTGTGTTTTGTTTCATTCACATGTTTGAGTAACACTTTATTTTTAGTCTGTCTACGTCTCCAAACCTTAAAATGCTCTGTTCCACATTGTGATGTCATGTAGTGGTAAAATGATCTGACAATAGAACAAAACTTTTTGTACTTAAAATATGGAAATACATCTGGTTACACTTTAAATAAGAAAAACAACGACTCTTTGCACTTAAACTGAGAAAAAAAGACACTTTGTACTTAAAATGTGAAAAACAATGATTTAAAATAAGAAAAACAATGACTCTTTTGCACTAAAAGTAAGAAAAACAATTACTTAAAATAAGAAAAACGACGACTCTCTGCACTTAAAATAAGAAAAAACAACGACTTTTTGCACTTAAAAAAAGAAAAAACGACTCTTTGCACTTAAACTAGGAAAAACAACGACTCTTTGCACTAGAAATAAGAAAAAACAATGACTCTTTGAACTTAAACTGAGAAAGAAAAGACTCTTTGTACTTAAAATGTGAAAAACAATGATTTAAAATAAGAAAAACAATGACTCTTTGCACGAAAGGTAAGAAAAACAATGACTTAAAATAAGAAAATGACGACTCTTTGCACTTAAAAAATTGAAAAAACAACCCTCTGCACTTCAATTAAGAAAAAAAATGACTCTTTGTACTTAAAACAAGAAAAACAATTACTTAAAATAAGAAAAACAATGACTCTTTGCACTTAAACTGAGAAAAAAAAAAGGACTCTTTGTACTTAAAATGCAACAAACAATGACTTAAAATAAGAAAAACAATGACTCTTTGCACTAAAAGTAAGAAAAAATGACTTTTTGCACTTAAACTAGGAAAAACAATGACTGCACTTAAAATACGAAAAAAACAACAACTCTCTGCACTTACAATAAGAAAAAATAAGGACTCTTTGTACTTAAAATACGAAAAAACAACGACTCTCTGCACTTAAAATAAGAAAAACAATGACTCTTTGCACTTAAACTGAGAAAAAAAAAGACTCTTTGTACTTAAAATAAGAAAAACAATGACTTAAAATAAGAAACAACAACAACTCTTTGCACTTACAATAAGAAACAAAATCAAATGTTGCTCGAATTAAGAAAAACAAACTTATTCCATTGGTCAGTAATTTTACTTGTCAAGTTGAATCGACTCAAATAAAGTAAAATATTCTTAATTGAAGTCATTTTAATTTACTTAGATATTATTTTTTGCGGTTTATAACATGACTTAAAGCTCACAAGAGTCAATTTTGTGTAAAAGAAACAAACAGAAATGACTCATTACTGCGATAAGTTTGTATCGTTTTCGTTTAGACCCACAGGTGTTACAGCCATGTGTCGGTCCCGGACACCGCGAGCACCTGTCACCCAGCGCCTGTCGCACCCTGACAGATGGAGAAGCAGGGGACACGCACGCGCCTCCGTCTTGGGACAGTTGTGTTCCTGAAATAGCCCCGGAGCGCGGCCTTATATGAGCAGACCTGAGGAGGCATCGAGTGTCCACACACACACGACACAACACAACACAACACCGGCAGGAGCAGCAGCAGCAGCAGGAGCAGCAGGAGCAGGAGCAGCAGGAGCAGAGGAGCAGGAGCAGGAGGAGCAGGAGCAGAGAGCAGCAGAGGAGCAGGAGCAGAGAGCAGAGCAGCAGAGGAGCAGAGAGCAGAGCAGAGCAGGAGCAGGAGCAGAGGAGCAGGAGCAGAGCAGAGCAGGAGCAGGAGCAGAGGAGCAGGAGCAGAGGAGCAGGAGCAGCAGGAGCAGAGGAGCAGCAGGAGCAGAGGAGCAGCAGAGGAGCAGAGCAGAGGAGCAGGAGCAGGAGCAGAGGAGCAGCAGGAGCAGCAGAGCAGAGCAGGAGCAGGAGCAGAGAGAGCAGGAGCAGAGCAGAGGAGCAGGAGCAGCAGAGAGCAGAGCAGGAGCAGAGAGCAGGAGCAGGAGCAGAGCAGCAGGAGCAGGAGCAGAGGAGCAGGAGCAGGAGCAGAGCAGGAGCAGGAGCAGAGCAGAGCAGGAGCAGAGGAGCAGGAGCAGGTCACGTTCACAGGAGCAGCAGGAGCAGCAGGAGCAGGAGCAGGTCACGTTCACAGGAGCAGCTCTGAACTCTGACACGGAGCTGCTCTGTCACGGCTCAACATGCTCCTCACCCAACTCAACCACCAGTGCCTCCTCCACCTCTTCTCCTTCCTGGACAAAGACGGCCGCCTGCGCCTCTCCCAGACCTGCCGGCGTCTCAGGGAGGTCTTTCTGGATCCGTGTCTGTGGACCAGGCTTCACTTCAGCTCTCCCAGTCAGCTCAGGCAGGACAACTTCGTCCTGGGCGCGTCGCTGAGGTCCCTGAGGATCAGCTGGTTCTCGAGCAGAGTGCAGCAGATCTGTAACATCGAGGACTGGCTCAAGACGTCGTTTCAGAAGAGCATCTGCGGCCGACACGAGGGGCTGGTCAGCGACTTCCTCGGGAGGGTCTGCCACACGTGAGTTTCGCTTTGATCTGAGCGGACAGAGCAGTGCCTCCAGTTAGCATCACACCCCAAGAGAATATTGACGACGTTACACCGCAAAAACAAAAACTGTGGGGTAAAAAGAGTTGTTTTTAACACAAAAAGTGTTATTTTAACTATGTGAAAGTTAAATGGAGGTTTGAGTTGGGGTTCTTTGCCAGAGTTGATATGGCTGGAGTTAATTCAACTTCCTCTAGTTTTAATTCAACTTCACTTGGTGTTAAATCAATTTCTCCAAGTGTTAATTCAACTTTCACAAGTGTTAATTCAACTTTTACTAGTGTTAATTCAACTTCCTCTAGTGTTAATTCAACTTCTTAATGTTAATTCAACTTCCCTTAGTGTTAATTCAACTTTTCTTAGTGTTAATTCAACTTCCCTTAGTGTTAATTCAACTTTCTTTAGTGTTAATTCAACTTCCACTAGTGTTAATTCAACTTTCTTTAGTGTTAATTCAACTTCCACTAGTGTTAATTCAACTTTCTTCAGTGTTAATTCAACTTCCACTAGTGTTAATTCAACTTCCCTTAGTGTCAATTCAACTTTCTTTAGTGTTAATTCAACTTCTCTTAGTGTTAATTCAACTTCCCTTAGTGTTAATTCAACTTTCTTTAGTGTTAATTCAACTTCTCTTAGTGTTAATTTAACTTCCCTTAGTGTTAATTCAACTTTCTTTAGTGTTAATTCAACTTCTCTTAGTGTTAATTCAACTTCCCTCTTTCTTTAGTGTTAATTCAACTTCCACTAGTGTTAATTCAACTTTCTTTAGTGTTAATTCAACTTCTCTTAGTGTTAATTCAACTTCCCTTAGTGTTAATTCAACTTTCTTTAGTGTTAATTCAACTTCCTCTAGTGTTAATTCAACTTCCACTAGTGTTAATTCAACTTCCTCTAGTGTTAATTCAACTTCCACTAGTGTTAATTCAACTTTCACTAGTGTTAATTCAACTTTCTTTAGTGTTAATTCAACTTCTCTTAGTGTTAATTCAACTTCCTTAGTGTTAATTCAACTTCTTTTAGTGTTAATTCAACTTCTCTAGTGTTAATTCAACTTCCTCTAGTGTTAATTCAACTTCCTCTAGTGTTAATTCAACTTCTTTAGTGTTAATTTCAACTTCTAGTGTTAATTCTTAGTGTTAATTCAACTTCTCTTAGTGTTAATTCAACTTCCCTTAGTGTTAATTCAACTTTCTTTAGTGTTTAATTCAACTTCTTAGTGTTAATTCTTCCTCTAGTGTTAATTCAACTTTCTTTAGTGTTAATTCAACTTCTCTTAGTGTTAATTCAACTTCCCTTAGTGTTAATTCAACTTTCTTTAGTGTTAATTCAACTTCCACTAGTGTTAATTCAACTTTCTTTAGTGTTAATTCAACTTCTCTTAGTGTTTAATTCAACTTCCCTTAGTGTTAATTCAACTTCCTTTAGTGTTAATTCAACTTCAGTGTTAATTCAACTTCCACTAGTGTTAATTCAACTTCCTCTAGTGTTAATTCAACTTCCACTAGTGTTAATTCAACTTTCACTAGTGTTAATTCAACTTTCTTTAGTGTTAATTCAACTTCTCTTAGTGTTAATTCAACTTCCTCTAGTGTTAATTCAACTTCCCTTAGTGTTAATTCAGCTTTCTCTAGTGTTAATTCAACTTTCTTTAGTGTTAATTCAACTTCTCTTAGTGTTAATTCAACTTCCTCTAGTGTTAATTCAACTTTCTTTAGTGTTAATTCAACTTCTCTTAGTGTTAATTCAACTTCCTCTAGTGTTAATTCAACTTCTTTAGTGTTAATTCAACTTCTTAGTGTTAATTCAACTTCTCTTAGTGTTAATTCAATTCTCACTAGTGTTAATTCAAATTCCCTTAGTGTTATTTCAACTTCCTGTAGTGTTAATTCAAATTCCTCTAGTTTTAATTCAACTTGTCTTAGTGTTAATTCAATTCATTTTAAAGTTCAACAAAGTTTATTTAGGGATATTTTTTGTATAAATAAGTATATTTAATTTATTTATTTTTAATACAGAGTTTGTAGAACAGCCGGATATATAGTTTATTTAGTTTATTTTGGAAATGTTTATGTTTTTCTGCCTTAATTCCACTATTGGGCCAGTTACTTTAAAACTGTAATATGTTGTTTTTTTTTTTTTTTTACAGTTTTTTGTCATTTCAAAGTCATTAGTTACTTTACAATATTACTGTGTTTAAAATATAAAATATTACACGAAATATTACAGAACTTTAAATTTACTCTCAACAAAATAACTGTGTGAAGATGAAGAACTTTTGCACCGAATATGGACTGAACCAGGACTGAACCAGGACTGAACCAGGTCTAAACCAGGACTAAACCAGGACTAAACCAGAACTAAACCAAGAACTAAACCAGGTCTAAACCAGGTCTAAACCAGGTCTAAACCAGGTCTAAATCAGGACTAATCCAGGTCAAAACCAGAACTAAACCAGAACTAAACTAGGTCTAAACCAGGACTAAACCAGGTCTAAACCAGGACTGAACCAGGTCTAAACCAGGACTAAACCAAGAACTAAACCAGGACTAAAACCAGGACTAAAACGGGTCTAAAAGTGCTTTAACTGCTATTTCCAATTTGAAAGTTTAGTGTAAATTATCAGTAACAAAGTGTTTTTTTGTATTTTTTTAAGAGAGAAATGCTGAATGAAAGCATCGTGTAACTAAAAAATAATCCTCTGAATAATCATGATTTCAATATTGACCAAAAATAATCGTGATAATGATTTTTTTCCCCATAACTGAGCATCTCTAATCCCAAACATCCCAACCCAGGAGTGTGTCAAAGATCAATATTTGAAAAAGCACTGGTGTAGAGAAGCAGAAATCACTTGTTGAAACGTCTTCCCGTGTTTGTTTTTGATCCGAGTTTGTGCAGGGCTCGGTTCTGTCCTGGTTCCAGCAGAAAAGGTCAGATGTTGTTGAGGGTCAGTGAACCTCACACTCCACTTAACTGCATTAGTGAAGCTGCATTACTCCCATTAAAACTCACCGGTGTCTGTTACTCTGCTCAAAAACTCCTCATGTCTGTGTTTCCTCACAAACACAAACTTTAAAGGTTGTATGGAGGATTTTTTTTTTGTTTTTTTTGTTTCAAATTGTCAATGATAGATTATAGAGATGCAGTAGCCTTGTAATTATGATGACCAAAAAAAAGAGAATAAAAATTCATCAACTCTGGACGTGGTGGGGCTAAACATTTGCCAATAGATAACGACACTGCCTCGTTATCTGTGAGCTGACAGGCTGTCAATCAAACTCCCTACGTTTCTAGTGTAACTGACTTGTCTGCGCTGCCGGTACGTGGTTTACGTACGACTGTCACAGTCCACAGACGCAAGACGCACAGACGCTGTTCCACCAACACAACAGTTCTTAGCGGCTTTTTTTGACCTATATCTTCCTCGCAGTTCGCACAAAGTTTGTTGCAATGGCGACAAGAATCCAGGAGCAGTTCGCCGCAAAAGAAAGTCCGTTTTTGAGGTCGCTGAAAGAAGAAGACAAGGGGAAAAGCAGCGAAGCCAAACTAAGGTGATTCTTGAAGATTCATTCCAGCGATGGCGCGACTGAAGCAGACGAAGGGTCTAAAGACTGACGCACTGGTCCACAAATTACTCCTGGACAGGAAACTTCTGCTTATTATGAAAACGTACTTTATTTCCAAGAGCTAGACAAACGTTTTTCAGGACACGAAAGCGATATCCTATGTCTGAAAACGTAATTTTCAAGGCAAAGAAAGAGTCCGCTTGCTGCTGCGTGTTGTAGCTAGTTCATTCGCACTGAATCTCCGCGCAACCTTCTCTGCACCCCTTTCCTGCTCCTCTCCCCGCTGCCCGATCCGCTCTTCCCCCTGCTCCTCACTTCTCCGGGCACGGAATCTCCGCGCACCGCCCTCCCCTCTCCTCTCTCCTCTCTCCTCTCCCTCTCTCCCTGCTCCTCACTTCTCGTCCGCGAACGAAATGTCCGCACACCCGCTCCTCACTTCTCCGTCTTGTCTAACCAACACTGTAGTTAGTTGTTTACAAGTCATGTGCAGCGGCTGTAAACAAACCTGTTTCTGGCGTAAGGAGGAGGAGGGAGGAGGCGTTTCTACGTAGGAGCTGTAGGGGAGGGGGGGTGGTTTCACACATGCGCAACATTTGAAAAAGGACAAACAGTCGCTGGATTTCTCGTTCCTTGGAAAATCCTCTATACAACCTTTAAAGTCGCATTCTGTAACTTTTCTGATGGAGGAAACGTCACTGCTCTGCCTGGAATGTTCCACAGTGTGACATTAAACAGCTCTACTTTACGTTTATTCAATTACAGGTGCAGGTTTATGGTTTTATTCCAACTTTAAACAAACCAAATACACAAAAATGTCGAGAAAATTAAAGAAATCAATTAAAATCTGCAAATTTGTTGATCAAAATCACTAAATTTCATCCTTTAATTCTTCTAAAAATCTCTACAAAATATTCTTAAAGTGCATTTTTAAAGAGGTACTTTAATACTTTTTCTTAAGTTGATTTTTTATGTGATATTTTTAATTTACTTACTTTTTTACCTTTAAATCTGTACTTTTACTTAAACTTGCACTGTGTAACTTTTTGTTTGGGGCTCTACTTTACGTTTATTCAGTTACAGACAGTTTTAAAGCTCAAAAATACCTCGAAAAACCGACATTCTGACTGTGAGTGGCTCGCCTCTCCACAGATCTGACCTGTAACTTGGCCTGGTTTGGTCTCTGTGAAGATAGAAAGGTTTAATGCCACACTGTGGAACATTCCAGACAAAACACCACTACTACTACCACAACTACTACTACTACTACTACTACTACCACTGCTACTATTACTTCTACTACTACTATTACTGTTACTGTTACTACTACTACTACTACTACTACTACTGTTACTACTACTACTACTACTACTTACTACTACTACTACTACTACTACTACTACTACTTAC